TCTTAATGCTACTGTACAAAAATCTCTGCATTCTGTAGGGTCACCTTCTTTGGACAGGGCACATTCTAATGACGTGAGGGGCTCATCTTCACGCACTATAGCAGACAATGTTCTGCTGCTACTGATTATGTTTCCAAGAGCTAATACCTCAGAAGAGAATCATTTATTCCTTCTTCCTAGTCTGTCCTTAGCCTGGAAGCTCTGCTGAAACTTGTCCACCGTGGGTGACCCTACTAGTTATTAAACACTGATGGCATAGCTTTCAGCATCACAATAACACTCAAGCCACCACAGCAGACAAACTGACAGACAAGTAGGGTTAGTCATATCATAAATGAGCCTATAAATTAAACCATAAAAGGTGGGAAGAATGTGCTTCTTAAAATAATCAACATATGAAGAACAACATTTGTACAAAGCAAAAAATGAGTAGGCAGGAAGGGAGAGGGAAACCAGACGAATGGTTAACAGGGAATGCATGGAGGAAATGAGCAGGGTGCTGATACACTTTAAGTGACAATGTCACAAAACAATATAGATATGAGTTATGGATTGGAAAACAAATTTCCTATGCAAAATTTCACCTAAAGTACAATAAAATGCTCAAAAATAAAAATTTTAAATAAAAATAATGAACTGTACAAAACAGTAACAAAACTTAGAAATTTGTAAAATTCTGTTTTACAAAACAAGAACACGTATCCTAGAATTTTCATCTAGATGTGGCTACACAATCTTTTGTTAATGAGATTAAGTTTATGACTGATGGATCCAATCAAACACCACAACAGAGAAGACTGAAGGGGACAGAGAAAGAACTAAAAGTAAAGAATGTTGCCTTCCTCTGGAATTCTAGAGGCAGGAAACAAGTCAAAGATGCCACATCTGTTGTTCTTCAAGAAAAGAAAAGGAGTATCCCTGGAATAGCTGGGTCATCAGCAGAACTGTTGGAAGGAGCACAAGAGCAAAAAGCCTTTACGTTTAAAAGGATGGTGGGCTGGGCTTCAGAGAATTGGATCTTCAACACATTCTGGAATGTGGGACTGCCATTAAGGTTGGTCAAGGGGATGGCATCACCACCTAAAGCTGAGAGGGTTGGGCTGTCATGACCTACCGAGTAGATAAGCAGAAGAACAGGGTCTGCCAGGGCTGATGGGGTTGGTCGTCTCTCAGGTGGACTAGGAGAATGGGGCTACCAGGGCTGAGTGAGCAAAGTTACCATCTCAGAGTGCCTGGAAGGTGAAAAGCTGAAGCCAAGGGTTAAGGGGCCTCCACCCAGAATCCAGGAAGCCTGATCAACAACCGCAGCCCGACAGAGAGGCCACTGCCTAGATGCTCTCAGAGGAGACAGGATTCTTTTGAAGCCTTAACAGCTATAGAAAATGTTCTAGGGGTTTTGGACTGCTTTAAACCTTTTATCCTTCCTTCCAATTGCTAGCATTTTTTAACAGAAGTGTCTATCTTGTGTCTGTGTTACCATTATACTCTGGAGCAGATAATTTATATTCTAACTTTCACAGGTTCACAGGTGAAAAGTAATATTGCCCTGGATTGAAGTATTCCTAAAATCTCACCCATATTTGACTTAGATGATTCCAAAGGGGAGATTTTGAGCTTGGAGTTGATTTAAGACTTTTAGGATGATGTGATGATGTGAATGTGTTTTGCATGTCAGAAGTATGTGCACTGACTGGGGGGCAGGGGGGTCGTGCCAAAGGGTGGACTATTATGGATTGAATTGTATCCCGTCCCTACCCCTCTCACCCCCTAACAAAAAACAGTTTAAAATGCTGACCTTCTATGCTTATACTTACAATCTCATTTGGCAGTGGGTTGTCTTTATTCTATCAATAAGACTGGCTGTTGTTGTTGTTGTTGTTGTTAATAAGTGCCATTGAGCAGTTCAAACCCGTAGTAAACCTGTACAGGGTTTCCAAGGAGTGGCTGGTGAGCATGAACTGCCAACCATGTGGTTCATACTGACTTTGCAGTTCAACACAGTGTTGCGTATGCTTTAAATCAATCTCTTCTGAAATAGAAAAGAGCTTGAAGAATCAAGTAAAAGAAGCAGAAACGGGAAAGAGAGGTACCAAACCACATTAAGATCCCCCCAGAAGCAGAAGCTAAAAGAGACCAAGACCTTCCTCCAGAATTGAAAGATGGAAAACCCTTCCACTAGAGCCGGCACCCTGAATGCGGATTTCTAGGCCCTAATCCATATAAGTCAGAACTGACTTGACGGCACTTAACAAACTGAGATTTCTACTCTCCTAAACTGTTCCTGTTCAGGCGCTACCACTTGGAGTCCTGGTATGGCACTGCAGGTTAATGCAATGGACTGCAAAGTCAGCTTCAACCACAAGGCTGGTGATTCTGCTCCTTGGAAACCCTATACAGGGTCACTATGGGTTGGAACCGACACAACTGCACTTAACAACAAACTGTGAGAAAATGAATTTCTGTTTGTTAAAGTCATAAACCAGTGGAGTTTCTATTCTAGCACACTAGATAACTAAGACAAGTGGAGAAAACCTGTTAGAGAAGGAAAACTCAAACACATTCCACTAAAATGAGTGATTTTAAAAACACGGTAAGACTGCACACTGCCTAAATTTGGAAATTTGTGAGACACAGAAAAACAAAGCAGTCCTTTTAAGTCCTAGCTCTCACAGGTTTCACTGTATACAGAAAATCCTAAGATGTCCACGAGTTCAGCAGGACTCATTATTAAGTGCCGTTAAATCAGTTCCAATTCATAGCAACCCAGTACAGGGTTTCCAAGGAGCAGCTGGTGGGTTTGAAAAGCCACCACAGCACTCTAATGCTTATCCTACAGTGCCACACCAAGACCTCAGCATGGTTTCCAAAATAAAATCAATATACAAAATTCAATTTTATTTATATACACTTATAAAGACAAATCTAAAAATGAAATTAAGAAAGCAATTCTATTTTATACAAGCATCAAAAACAATAAAATGCCTGGCAATAAATTTAACAAATGAAATGTAATACTTACACTATGAAAATGACAAAACATTGTTCAAATAAACTAATGATCTAATGAAATGAAAAGGCAAACCATGTGTACAATGGTACTTCAAAGAGTTCATGGAAAAACTCCATTATCTTTTAATTCCAATTTCCCACAAACTCTTTGAAGCACGCCTTGCATGGACTGAAAGTATTAATATTGTCCTTTAATACTGTTAAGAAACACAAAATTAAAAAATTTTGAGCTTCAAAGGACACCATCAAGAAAGTGAAAAAACACAAAGAATGAAAGAAAATATTTGCACATCATGTATCTGATAAGGGTCTTGTATCCAGAATTTATAAGAATTCTTACCACTTATTTAAAAAGAGTCAAAAAAAACAACAAAAAAATTGGCAAAGGGCATGAATACAAGTTTCTTCAAGCAAAATAAATGAATGGCCAGTACGTAAATAAAAATATGCTAATTTAGCCATCAGGGAAATGCAATGTAGTTTTGATTAAACTACAAAGAGACACTATTTTACACTCACTAGAATGGCTATTAAGGAGTTCTAGTAGCATAGTGGATTACAAGCTGAGTTGCTAACCACAAGGTCAGCAGTTGGAATCTACCAGTTGCTCTGCAGAAGAAAGATGAGGCATTCTGCTCCTGTAGAGAGTTACAGCATCTGAAACACTATACAAAGTCAACTCCACAGCTCATAACCACCACCACCATCACCACCACCACCACCACCACCACCACCACAGAATGAAAATTAAGGAGCCCTGGTAGTAAAGTGAATTACGAGTTGAGCTGCCATCCACAAGGTCATCTACCAGTCACGCCTCATGAAAAGATGAAGC